GCACGAGGAGGGGAGAAAGTGCTTTGACCCCTCATCTTCATGTGAGACCCCATGCCAACCACCATTGCCGAATCGGGGGAAGGATCGTATCGGCGATGATGATGATGATGATGATGATGACCATGACCATGACCAAAAGTCACTTCCAGCGATCAAGAAATGGTGAAAGTGAGAATCGGGATCCATCCTGGATCGCGATCTGGCCAAATTTTTGCATGCGCTGGAAGTCTTCTGCAGACGTCATGAGTAGCCATCCTTGATGGATCCAATCATAAAGTACATCTTTCGAGCAACATCAAACTTCGACCCGGTTTAGTTCTCCTTTCCAACCTTGATGAATCGATCGCCCCGAATCAGCAAGCACGTCCTCATACAATAGTGAAAGAGCTGTGTTGTAAAGGGGCACAAGAAGATGGATTCGCTCCTCCGAGCCCTCATCGGGAATCGTCGCACCATGAGTCAAAAAGGTCCAGAAAAAGAGGTTTGGAGGTGCCAGACTGTTGAAGGAGCGAATCGTGATCGCAAGATGGATGGAGGCCGGGAACTTGGTTTTCCATCTTTGCCGTTCTTAGCCGAACGGCTGAAGACGGAGGGGATCGGTTCCCTCTGGGGAAGACTTGAGGAGAGGGGCAGGTGAACTAGCTGAAGGATTCGCTTCGAAGAGGATTCGGATTCTTTTCCATATTTTTTTAATGGTTCTGAATGGTTCGGAGAGGCCGGGCATGCAGCTTCTTTCCCCTTTGTTCCGCTTCTTTCTGTTTCGTTCTCCCTTCTCCCGCAGTCCCGATCGAGAACTCCTTTCAATTTTCCCCTCTTATCTGATCGTAGTCCTTCTCTTGTCCTTGCTATCATTCTAGTTCCTTGTCTCCCTGCTCTTACTGTCTCGCATTGAGCTGGAAGTTAGCATCAAGGTTCGTGAGGGATGGGATCCTTTTTGTGATCGAACATCTCTTGTGCACCCGATTCTCCTTTTTTCGTGGCAGGACGGAGAACCGGTCGCGTTCAACAACCGGAGGGCCGGACAAAGCGGGGTAAGGGGTTGTACTGTAATGATCTTTAATTTCTCCATGGAACACGAAGGTGTTTTTTCTTCTTCTTTTTTTTTTCGAAAAGGATCCAACTTTCACATTCGAGATCGTCACCAAGAGGCACCACTATGACTCAACACGACATATTCCTATTCTTTCACGATGGAAACATGGACAACGAAGGGGAGGGGTTTAAGCGCATCGCGGGACTCCAACGCCTCCCTCATGTTGCAACTGGACGAGTTCCAGCCTCTGTTTCCCCCCATCGCCCTTGCTCCCGAAATTGAACTGAGTGTGCTGTTTTAAGCGCGAATCGGCGACCTTGAGAGGGGTTGATCAGATAGGCCAGGGAAACTCCTAATGTGATTACGGTTGAGACTATTCATTAGCAAGTGAGTTGATCGATTAGGGTTGGTCGATCCAGAGTGGGACTAACCTTCGAACATGGATCATTCATGATTGTAGCCAAGTCGGATGATACATACTGGATGTATGTACATACGTTTCTTTTTTGAAAAGGTCGAAGCCACCCTCGAGCCTAGCACGGTGGGTATAATAATCAATGAAGCTACTAACGTACACTTTTCATTCTGTCAGCTCCTACTGTTTCCCATTGAGGTTCGACTCCTACATTCAAAGTCCAACCTACAAGGTGCAAGCATGATGGTCGGATTGACCTTGCAAGTGAGTCTGAAAGCGGGATTTTATTTACCGGCAAGTCAGGCACTCGCAAGCATTTTTTTTGAGGATGGGATGGTGAGGATGACGGAAGAGGGGTAAAGAGTTATGAGTTGTTTCAATGTGGATCATGTGGAAGAGGCATCGTTAGAGCTGGATCGGGAATGGGCCAACTCTAGTTACATCCTGTCATCCCCGCATCCCCCCGCCTTTGTAAAAGAAGGACAACATTGAGTGACGCTCACTACGGCCTTATTAAATCCTCCTCATTCTTGTCCCATTTGAAAGCTCTCCTTCTCTCCAAACTTGACTGTTTATTCGATTTCGATTCCTAGGTGGATTTCGGACCCCCCCCCCCACTTCTCCCCTTCCCAGACCGACCGCTTTCACCGCACAACCTTCCCCACCTTCACAGCCCAGGACTTTCTTTTCGTGACCTGACCTCCCGGGTCGTGTATTTCATCCCCTTACTCCATTCTTAGCTCCAAGTAGATCGAGTCAGGAGGGAAGAGCTTTCAAAGTGAGGAGACTGGGCTAGCTTAGAGTGACTGTGACTCGGGTGACCAGCATCTCCCCGAGACCGGCTCGTCGAGTGGGGCCAATGATACACTGCTCCCTTGGCTTCCAACTCTCGAACGACCCTTGAGCCCACCACCTCCCCTCCTGTATGAATTACCTCCTCCCTCTTAAAAAGTTCTTGTCCTCTTCCACCATCCATCCTCCCTCATATATACCAGTAATAGCTTGTCCCGGTTCCGCCCTACCCTCAATCTCCTCCCACCCCTCCCTTCTCGAATCTTTCTTTTTCGCTTTTTCCCATTTCCTCCCCCCATCAGTTTCCCTCGTTCGTGAATCCACTTCCAATTGTAGCAAGCCAGCATCAGCAAGTCAAGATCGTCCCAAAGCAAAATCGAGCGCTGCAGACCGACTGGCTTCCAGCTGCACATATTGCTAGTTGAACAATCAAGCCTTACCTTTAGATCCCCCCATATCCCACAGCGGTCCCATCTGCAGAGCCCCATTCATTCTCCCTCTCGCACAATGGCTTCTTCGAAGGCACAAACTGGGTCAGGGAAGAAGAAGGTGGCTCCTTCAACTCACCTGATCGCCGGTGGAATCGCTGGTTTCGCAGAGGCCTGCACATGTCATCGTGAGTCGAAGTGACTTGCTTTCATCCTCCTGTCAAGTCCAGCTCGCTGAAGAACTGACCCCGCCCTCGATTTCTTTTCTCCTGCGACCTCGATTTCTACGCATCACTACCTCCCTTCTGCATGCCCTGTCTCTCCACACCCTTACAGCTCTCGATACGATCAAGGTGCGAATGCAGCTCTCGAGAAGAGGAAGAGGATCTGGTGAAAAGCCCCGTGGTTTCATAGCAACTGGCGCATACATCGTGAGAAGAGAGACACCTCTTGGCCTCTACAAGGGTCTTGGAGCCGTGATTGCCGGTATCGTCCCAAAGATGGCCATCAGGTTTATGAGCTTCGAGTACTACAAGAACGCCCTTGCAAACAAGGAGACTGGTGTTACGTCGCCGCAGGGAGTCTTCCTAGGTAAGTCCACGACCTTTTTCCGTTCCTTCCTTTTCCGGTTTTTGAAACCTCAGGCGAGGGTGAGGAGCGGAGACTGGCAAGCGGGCAAGCGTCACAAGACTTTGCCTTCTCGAATGAGGCTTATTCACTGAAGGACATGCTACTGGTGTTTCTTCATGTCTTCTTCTGTACCTTTTCCCACACTGGATGATTTTTCTCGACTCCTACGCCTCTCACAATCACTTATGCTAAATTTTTCCCCATACATCCATCCTTCTTTCCTCTTTCGAAAACTTTTTGTTTTTCTAACAGCCGGTCTTGGAGCTGGTACTACTGAGTGAGCCTTGAGATGAAGTTAAAGGGAAAGGTATCCTCGTTGCAAAGAGTCGCCATCTGACGTTCCTGTTTTTTGTCTGGCTTCTTGATAGGGCGGTAGCTGTAGTCAACCCGATGGAGGTGGTCAAGATCCGACTGCAAGCTCAACAGCACTCTCTTGCTGATCCGCTGGAGGTGCCGAGGTACCGAAATGCCGGACACGCGCTCTACACCATCATTCGGGAGGAAGGTTTCCTGACCCTCTACCGAGGTGTTGCCCTTACTGCCGCCCGTCAGGCCACAAACCAAGGTGAGTCACTCAGACATCATGACGAATCGGAGAAGGTCGAGGAAATGAGTTGATGAAAGGACTTGCGCTGCGAGGGCAATCTCTGTGTAAGCCAAGGGTGGCACACTGACTTCTTCCTCTTCACTATTCATTTCTGCCGGCATGCTCCCACAGCTGCCAACTTCACCGCGTACCAAGAGCTCAAATCCTTGGCCCAAAAATACCACGGCACGACTGATTTACCTTCATATGAGACAGCAACAATTGGCTTGATTTCAGGCGCTCTCGGACCTTTCTCCAACGCCCCTATTGACACTATCAAGACCCGTATCCAGCGCGCTTCCAAGGTCGAGGGCGAAACTGCGATCAGCAGGGTTGTAAAAGTGGCCTCAGAGATGTTCGCCCAAGAAGGTGCCAGCGCTTTCTGGAAAGGTATCACTCCTCGAGTGGCTCGTGTTGCACCCGGACAGGCTGTTGTCTTCACCATTTATGAGAGGGTGAAGGCCACCATCGAGAAGGCTAAAGCGGGGGAGTTCAGCCTTGAGGATACCCGCTCTGAGGAGTAAAACTTTATCGAGCAATTTAAAGCCAGACCAGAGTTTGGAAGGGAGAGATGGTCTTTGGGAAAATGGACGCTGACTGCTCTTCCGTACAAACCCTCCACACCGAAGAAGAAATGCAGGAGAAGGAACGCATCGCCGATCCCCCGTCTCTTGTCCATCTACCAACCCAGAGAGTGAGGATTTTTATCAAAACCCACCTTCTCCGTATGCATCCCCCCTTCCCTTCCCTTTCTTTATCCTCTGGCAGATTCTCGGTTCTCGCCAGAACTTTTGATCCTTGTACATTTTCTCTCCTTCCAATCCTTTCCCCCTTCCTCCCCGCTTCTTGATTTTCCTCGCCCAAAAAAGGAAGAGAAAGAAAGGGTGAGGTGATCCCATGCGACGCCTCCCGTCTTCTTCATGCAAACCTCCTCAGATATCTCCGAGATTTTCGGGAAATCGAGGACTGTAATTGATTATCTCGACCATTGAGCTTTTTTACACTGGTAAAGCGAAAGGAAAGAACCAGTATGAAGTTTCGAGTGAGCATACTCCTCCGAATTTTGTGTGAATACTACGTTGGGTATACATATGTTATTATATGAATACACCCCAAGCACTGATAGTTCAGTGGTAGAATACCTGCCTTCCATTCCCTGAGAGTTTGGGTTTGTAAGCATGTGGCACGGGTTCGATTCCCGTTCAGTGCAGTTACTTTTCATTCTTTTTGCCTTTCGAAATTTATAAACTATAAATATTTAATGGAAGAAATATATATGCAACGGAACTCCTTTATGTCAAGTTCTGGTTAGTTTAGTGGCTATGACGGCGCCTTGTCATCTTAGATGAAGACGCCCGGCGCAGACCCGGGTTCAATTCCCGGACCGGAAGTAAGACTTTTTTCTTCTCTTCCCTTCCCCCTCCCTCCCATCTCCCTCTTTCTTTTTTTCATCCTCTGAACACTCTTCCTGATCGTGAGTCAGCATTGGCATTCCCTTGCCTTCCGGGTCACTGGTCAGATAAGCATGCGGAGCCGAAAGGGGTGAGCGAGAAAAAGAAAAAGAAAAAAAGGGGTTTCGGGGGCCGGGGGGGTTTTCTTCCTACTTCGACCCGAGTGTCTCACTCTCTATCCCATTCACCAGAGTTCACTCGAAAACCCCCTCGCTCTGTTCCAACCCCCCGATCCACTCCTTTCCATCTACACGGTTCGCACAACAAATCTTCGGGATGGAAACCTCGCAACTGAACTTTCTTCGGGGGAGGGGAGATGTAGGTCGGGGTAAGGTGAGAGGGCGAAGGTTTTTTTTTTTTTTTTTGGTTTATGATTTCTACTTTCTTTTTTTTCCCCTACACTTCCCCCATCCTCTTCTTACGATGTTAGGATGACAGATGCTTTGGAGTCACTGGAAGAGGGGGTGGGGGT